GTAGCTGGGTGGGCAGCAGGTCGGGCGCGGGAACTATACCCGGGGAAACGAACGGCTGATAAAATCTCCGTCGCTTGGGCCGGCCCAACGAGGGCGGAAGCAACGAAGATGGCCGGTCCAGACGAGTCTTCGAAGTGGAAAATATTGTTAAAAAAAACAAAATGCCACAAAGGTGATCCGAGGGGCGCGCGCTAAAACTTGAGACCTCAGGGTTCCGAGCCTGCAACACTACCACCGAGCTATGAATTAAAGCTTGAGTTGGATTAAAACTGGATCATATGCTCATTGAGAGTTTTTCTGAACTGTGAATGCATTGCAGTTGATCGAAAGTCCAGCTTCAGAGACCCAGAGTTCTGGTATGTTGAGCAAGGTATTGCTGCACCAGATTGCGACGGCTCTGCGTCCTTTAGGATGGCTTTTCACCGCCGTGATGAGAAATGGTGGCTCCCAGTGCCTCGCGTGCCTCCCGGTGGCCTTCACAATAAAACAAGGAAGCAGCTCCAGCACAAACGTGATTGTGCAAACCAAATCCTGAAGGCTGCCATGGCCATCAACTGCAATGCTTTAGCAGAAATGGAGGTCCCTGAATCTTCTCTTGACTCCCTACCAAAGGTATACCATGCGTTCTTCCGTAATCAAAACTCATGAATGTGCAATGTCCACAGCATTTCTTAGTGTCAGTTCTGAACATGCTGCACTAAACTTGATTTCAGAATGGAAGGGCAACCTTAGGTGATATCATATACCGCTACATAACATCTGATCAGTTCTCTCCTGAGTGCCTTCTTGATTGCCTGGATCTGTCCACGGAGTACCAGGCCCTGGAAATCGCAAACCGTTTCGAGGCGTCAGTGTATGTGTGGCGCCGGAGGGTTGCTGCCAAACCAGCAAATGGCTTCTATAGAAGAGAGGAAGGATGCTATTAAGAAGAAGGATAAAGACATGTGGAAGGCCACGTAAGCTGAGAATCATTCTTTATGTTCCTGACGAATTCCCAGTACATTCAGCTTCTGTAACTGTACTCAGTTTGAAAACTGGCGAGATGTTCGAATTGTATGGATACAGTATCCCATGAAAGCTACCTGTATTAGTGCTATGGTGCTGTTGCAATGGTGATAGTAGAGAAAAAGAATATCATAATATAACATTTAAATCGAAATAGACAAATGTCCTCCTTTTGCTCATTGAACTTGGACGACACTACTGCTGGTTGGCACTGCCTCCTGTGGTCTTGCCTCATCTTTAGGTGCCGCTGTTGTACAGTGTGATTGTATTATCTTTCCTCCACTTTTGAATATTACAGCAACATTGTGGTAAACACTACTCAAAATTAATTGAATAGTACTTGTTCAAATTTTGAATTGTGCCTCTTAGCTCAACATGAATCGAGCTATAACAGTACTATCTCTATTGCCTACCCTGTTTCTGAGTTAAAATAACTCACTCACTTATTCTTATGCAGATATAAACTTTGCATGTGTGTGTTAGTTACAAATATCTTCCCAAATTTGGAAGACCAGGATAAGATCTCAAGCTGTATCCTTTCAGTTTATTGTGGTTTTCCCTATTCAGCTCATGTTAAATGTAAAAGGTTATGCTGCTTAGTTTTTGCACTTCATATCAGCTTTCTCTAACAGCGAACATTAACAAAAAGTCATGGCATTGCGAAAGTCCTTAGCTTTTAATCTGATACCATTGACAAGAATGGGAAGAAGATACAGAAGTGCGAGTTCGAGAAGACGACACCACCAGTTGAGATCTGTAACACGCTTTGGAAACAATTTAGGGCGTGAAGTCCGTCATTACTGTCTGGTGATGAAGATTGTCAATTGTGCTTGTATATAGCTGAGGAGGGCGGACCTCTCACCTTCAGTATTACAGTAATACAGTTCCTCAATGTTGTGTCGACACCAATGTTCGGGTATCGCCATAAACATAGTCGGCTATGTCCTAGTTTTAGCTTGATGGATAGTACTAGACTAGATCTTTACCAGGCATTAGCACTTACAGGAGAGGCCAATAGGCTTTGCATTAGTTCTACAGCTATTTCAAGACTTATCGATTCCTGTACATGATATGCAATAAGATTTGGCATTTGTGGCTAATTTTATAGCCAGGATAAGATCGGAAGGTAGAAAATTCCGGTTTGCGCTTGCATTGTAGTCCCATACACGGTGTTGACCTGGGAAGGAGCAGAAGCCACAAGAAAGTGATCAAAACCGAAAATTAGGTGTCTATAAATATTTCACATGAGATTTCTTGTTACACCACATGAGATTTTTCATGAAATAATATAATAATCCTATAAGTTTGAATTGCTCCTTTTTCTGTGAATCTTGAATCTATCTTATTTTAGACCGCGTTTGGTTGTTACTTTGCGTCACCTAAAATGTCACCGTGGCGTTAGCACAGGCAGTATACTATTCAGTTAGATGAGAAAATTTGTGTTTTATTGTGTGCAGTCAGTCAAATGGATAACAAGCAGACGTTTAGTCTGTTGGAGGATGATGGCAAGGTGTTGATCTAGGCCAACCAGGGGCATAGTATGTTCTTTGCCCGAAATTTACTCCACTAAATACTATAGTTGTTTCTACAAAGCAAAGCAGCATGCATTTCGCATGTTCACTTTTTCCTTTTAACTTTGCGTAAGATGGAAATGTTTTCTGTAGAATATTACAACTTGCATTCCTATAATTTTAAGAGATGTAATATTCTTCCAAACTGGAAGACCTTCAGTGTTTAGAGTTCAGACTATGTCTATGATGGTTTGCTAGGTATTTATTTGTTCAACTACTTTATGTTTCAAATTTCTTTCACATATGGGTTGAATGCTTTAAGCATAAAAATGGATATTGATATTTGATACTATCTGTACCATACACAGTTATGTTTCCATGTTGTATCAGTACCATACACAGCTATGTTTCCATGGACTTTTCCATACTCTGACATAACCTTCTTTAAGTGATCCTTTATAAGTTTTGTTTTCTCCTAACATTATGAGAACAGCAAGGCAAGATAAACAGATGTTCAAAAACTGAGTTAGGCAAGGTAAATATCTCATGTCTGCGGTGTTGACTGCTCTGCAGGTAAATTTTGGTTTATTCAAAAACTGAGTTAGGTCTTGTTTGGATGTTATCGGATTCAACTTAATCCACATGTGTTGGGGTGGATTGGAGTGGAATTTAGTTCAAGTTCCACTCATATCCACCCCAACACATGTGGATTCATAAGGATCCAACTACATCCAAACAAGGCCTTAGAAATATCTCACCCAGTGGCATCCAGGTGAGTCAATTCCATTAGTTTATTCCTTGGCGGGAATTTGAGAAGCTTCAGGGTGATGGTTAATGACGCCTATTGTGCTACTCGGAGATTTGAAGATGGAACTGCAGTGTTTAGGGAAATGTGGGAATTGCTAGGAGATTTGAAGATGCAACTGCAGTGTTTAGAAAAATGTGGGGATCTGCAGATGCAGTTGAACCATCGACATTTATATTTATCACATCAAAACTTGAATTTTATATTCTAATTGTTTATGCTTTGTGAAAACTCATGTAATATTGATGATTGGTTATAAACGGAGTGCTGCGAATATCGTGTTCAAAGTATAGTTTTTTTGCTAGCCTGAGCCTCGCCATGGCTCGCTTCTGAGGATGGCCACGCCGTGGAGCCCCACATCACAGCTGCCCGGCTCAAGGAAGTTGCTGCAGTAGCTGACGCGGGGATGCAACGCCGGGGCCGTCGTGATTGTGGCCTTGCAGAGCGGCGCCGGCCCCTTGGAGCCACGCGTCTCTGTTGCTGCGGCACCTCCACCCGCGAGCAAAACTCATGGCACCGAGAGCAGAACCCACCGCACCGAGATGTGTAATAGTGTAGATGTGATGAGTGTTTTCAGCAGTTTTGCAAGCATGGGGTATAGAGACAAGGAAAATAACTATACAAATGACAATTATTTGCAATGACGTGAATACACCAGTGATACAAATAATTATGTTCATAGAAAAATACTATTTTTAGGTTTTTACCGTAGCGTAACACGGGCACTATACTATTTCTATAATATATTGAAAATGATGCAATGAATTGGAATCTCTTTTAATTCTTGTTGTACTCTATTTATATCACGAAATACCACCGGAGTTTGGTTGTTTTTATGTGTATCCCTCAAATGAAGCCATAGCGTTAGCACGGACACTATACTCAAACTCAATTGATAGAAAGAATCAACTGAGAAAAATAATTTTTACCTGTTCTGTCTAAGTCGTCCATGTGATTACTTCAATAGATAGATATATGACCTGGTCTATCACTGTTAGCCTATCACCTTATCTATACTGGATCTCATGAGCACGGACACATGGATGTGATGGGCACTATGTCAATAAGATAGCGGACGCAGACAAAAACAACCAGAAATCCCCAGATATATGAATGAATTCATGAAGGATATTGGCTAATCTCATTACGACGACTAAGGCACCAACGGTTTCCATTGGTCAGATTAACATTTACCAACGTTTATAAGCATCATATTCTGCCTCATCTCTCTCAGCTGTTACAGAACTAATTAAGCTCAAACCAGCAAAATGTCGTTTTCAAAATGTTCATGGTTACTTTTTTCTGCACACAGGTGAGTTCAGAAAACCACAGCATTTGTGGAGAGGACGAGGCATACTTCTCTTGATGGAATGGAAAATTTCAGTGCTGCATCATACATCTCAATGACAACATAAGGATTCCAAAAACTGCAAGCAGCAAAGGTTCTCACCAGACATTTCCTATAATTGGTTCTTTTCTCAAACAATCCTGTAATTGGTTCTGACAGGGAGATTGATTGTCAATTAGATATAAAATCATCATCAGTATCACATTCCTTAGTTTCACTGCCCTCCCACATACAGTGGAGTCCATCTTGAGGCTTCAACCAGTCCAATTTCGTAATGCTATCCTAACCCTAGAATGGAAAAATAATGCAGGATAACCAACCTAACAAAAGGTCACAGTGCCATAATCCTTCCTTCGGGCATTTTTCTGTCAACTCGGTCAATTCTTTGGGGTGGCCAGATTATGTGTGTGACCCTGCCCCGCAACAGACCCATAGGAACCTGCAGGTATAAAGTGTTTTGGATCTTTAGTAACAAGATCACAGATGCCTACAAACTCGATCTGCTACACTGTGCAAACAAGTATTTCATAATGAGTGCTGCTGGAGCCTGGGCGCCATTTGCTTGTCTCTTTAAAGGACAGAAAGATATGAACACTCAGAACCGAAAAAAGCTCAACGAGGCACTGGCCTACTCTTTTATACTTGCCCTCCTATGCTATTAGAATTAGAATAAAAGGCTTGCAAGATATCATATCATAATAAACCATGAGGAAACTATCATCAGAGAAAATGAACAGGAGTGGAGATATTGAAGGCTTCAAGCTAGTTTTATCCACCAAACAAACAAGGAATGAAATTGATACTTTAAACTTTTTAATGGGGATACAAATATGAATAATGAAATAGCATTGTGTCAATGGCTCGGATTTGCAAAGCATACAGTTAAATTCCTCCAGTGATCAAGATGCCAATTCAAGATGAAGATGCTTTCATCAAGATTAAAAAGATCCCTACGAATAAACGACTAAAACTATCACTTTGGTAACCAAGTAAGCAACTGGCTTTTATCCTGTAACACAGCTACACAGTCAGGCCTTCCTTTTTGCAATTAACAAGCAATTTATCCTAGGCCAATAACGCAGTTGTGTCCAGTAACGAGATGAATAACTTACAGGGCCATAGGATCTCGAGTCAAAGCTGAGGGCGGCATTGTCCCCTTCAACCCAGCAATGGCCCTCCGGGATCTGCCGGATCTCCTGCTTCTCCGGGATCTGGATCCAATCCCCAGGCAGCACAATCAGACTCTTCACCATCAGCTCACGATGGTCCCTCGGTGACCTGCGACGAGCAACAACAGCGACATCAACAACCAACCAATCCAAGAAACGCCCACGGACCCGGAGGCGGGCGGGCGGCAGCGACTTAACTCACCTGAACACGACGACGTCGCCGCGGGAGAAGTCGTAGCGGTAGAGGCAGCGCTTCTCCACCAGAGCGCGCTCGGCCTGCTGCGGGTCGAAGGTGGGGTGCATGGAGGCGCCGTCCATGGTGACGACGGAGGCGACCCAGTCGGCGACGGTGATGCCGAGCACGCTGCCGGTGATGCATCCCTTCACGAGCAGCCAAGGCTCTTGCCATGTGCGAAAAGGATCGGGACCTCGATGGGCGGCCTGGGCACCTACGACGCGGAGGCCGGCCGGCGAGCGAGGGACTCCTTGATGTGCTTGGTCGGGGACGGCGGTGGGAATGGGCGGCGGAAGAACTGACGCGGCGTGGACGTCGAGGTCGCCGGCGTCGGCGCAATGCCGCCGGGGAGCCCGAAAGGGCTCCCGGCCCAGGGGCTGCCGGCCGCCAACGACCGCGCCGGCGTCGCCCCGACCCTGTCCCCACGCAGCGTCCCCACGGGAGATGGCCGCGCGCTCCGCCTCCCTCCTCCCCACCCCCTCCTGACGCCGCATCCTCCGACCCGACCCTGAACACCGCCGAGACGGTGATGACAACGACGGCGGACGTCGACGGCGCACAGACGGAGAATAGAGACAGCGGCGAATGAACCATAACAAGACGAAAATATTCATCTTCATCTAACTATGTAAATCTCAACTATACTACTCAAAACATTATTTTTACATTTATTAATTTACCATTTTACCCTTAATTAAAAAAATAACTATAAAAAAACAATTGCCACTCTTTTATTTGAAGTTCTAATCCTCTAAACTTTGGAGGCATTGGGAGGCGTTACGGCTATATGGGCACACCGACCATAGACACATCTAACGCCTTCCGACGCCTCCCTCGTTGATGCCTCTCAACGCTTCTCTCTTATGGGCCCACCAATCATAGATACAGCCAACACCTCCTGACGCCTCCCCAACCATAATAAAAAAATTCTAACATAATACTAAAAGTAATATTGTAATCATAATGGATGGCTAAACAATTCATATAAGCAAAGTAGTAGCTTAGCAGTGCAGTGATTAAACATATTTCTAATAGTTCCTAGCGCAATGATAACTGACCAAGGTGTAATGAAGTGTCACTGCATATTTGCAATTTAAAATAATTAAAGTAGACTATGTCAGTAATCAAATGCATTAGCCAAAATTAGGAAATGTCAAATCTGGTTTGAAGTTTGGATATAATAAGTAAAATTTATTTTTAAAAGAAGCAGTGACAACAAGAGGAAAAAGATATCCAAAAACTAAAAGCAGACATTAGTACTGAACTAAAAAACTAAATAACAGATCTAAAAATTACTCAATAGAACCATGCGTCAAATCTAAAATAAGGTGGATGATAGAAGAGAACTAAAACTAATCAAAAGGACCAGCCTTATTACGTACCTCATATAAAAACTAGAAAACTCATATTTGAACTTGTTTAATGGAATATGCCAATGCCAAAAAGAATTGTAATTGCTGGTTGCTGCCAAACTAACTGAACATTTAAACAACACACACCATTTTTAAAGTTCTATACCTACTGTAGGGGCAGCAAACCATATGAAAATATGGAGTTAAATTATATTAAAAAGGTAGGAGTATTTAATAATCCACACGGTTAGTCAGATTGCCAAATTATGAACTTTGGAAAACCAGCCTTTAAAAAGTAGATGCAACAGTACAAAATAAGGTATAAGACCATGCCTAAAAATATAATTAAATTTTACCAATACCTGGAGGGTACTCCATCCGTCCCAAATTAACTGCCGTTTTGGGTTTTCATGTCATAAGTTTGACTAGATTTGTAGAAAATGCATACAATATTTGTATCTCTAAATAAAATTATTATGAAAATAGATTCAACAATCTATCTAATGATATTAATTGTGTACCATAAATATTAATATATTTTTACATAAATTAGTCAAGGTAATTTCTCGAGAAGCGAGAACAACTATTTTGGACCGAGGGAGTACATCTAAGAGCCATATGTGCAGGATCTAAAAAGAATTATTCGTATAAACCAAAATCATACCTTATACATCAATAAATCACATTAAACAACATGAACTATATACATATCTATAAAAACTAATTAAAGAACCAACCATAAGAACAGAAAAGGCAGGATCCATATCTAAAAGGATTAAGTCCACTTTTGACCCCTCAACTATCTTGTTGGTATAATTTTGACCTCCAACTCCAAACCGTCTTGTTCAAAACCTCAAGTTTGAAAACCGTTCACTCTCGGCACCTAGACACGGTTGTGGCTATTTCATACCGACGTGTACGTGGTTTTGACCCGGCATTGGCGTTGACCGCCACGTAGACTCATGCACTGGAGAGATAAAACCGTGTATAAAACCCAGCGGCGGCCGGCGTCCCCTACCCACCCCGAGCCCCGCCTCCCACTCTGACCTCCACCCCGAGCCATGGCCAGCCACCTCCTGGACACCGACGCTGCCGGGTTCAAGCTCTTGGCAAGGCGACGGTCAGCCACCTCCGCCGCCTCCAACGATGACGGCGACGGTCCTTCCTCCTCCTCCGTCCCCGCCGCAGCCGCCTCAGCCCCTGCAGCAAGCGCCCGGGTTGCCCCTGCGCTCATGCCACTGCAGGGGTGGAGAGCGACGAGCAAGATACGGCGGGTGCCGGAGATGGGCGGCGCGTCGGCGTCGGCGTCGGCCTCGTCGGGCGCGGGCGCGGACGAGCACCCCAAGGAGGACGGCAAGCAGGGGGCGCAGCCTCCGGCGGCCGAGAAGAAGCGCGGCCGCACCGCGGGGGACAAGGAGCAGAACCGGCTGAAGCGCCTACTTCGGAACCGCGTGTCCGCGCATCAGGCGCGGGAGCGGAAGAAGGCGTACCTGACGGAGCTGGAGGCCAAGGCCAAGGACCTGGAGCTCTCTTCTCCATTCACAAAAACAGAGACAGAGGACGCACCGGCCGGTCAAATTTCCGGCCGAGCCGGCCACGATAGCGGAAGAGGGGGAGCACGGTAGCACCCACGGGCCACGGCGGACCCGCGACGCGACCCAGCCCGTGCCTGGGCAGGGAGCGGCGTCTTGACCGCGCGCACGCGCGGGGACGCGGCGACACGAACGCCGGCCACGGCCATGGCGGCAACCAGCGACGCCGGCGGGGCACGGGAAAGGGAGAAAAGGGGCGCGGAGGCTTACCACGCGTCACGGCACGAGCAGGGGACGCACGAATCCACGAACGAAGAAAAATCGTGGACAATTTTGAGAGACAGCGAGAGAAACGGAGCCGGCGGCCGAGTTATATACAAAACGGCGAGGCCGGCGCTTGCCCATCGGTCCGAAAGGGGCGCGTCCTCCTCCGCTGTAGCCACAGCGCCGCCACAGGGAAGGCACAGGTGCAGCGGCACAGGGCTGGAGATGGGCGACGACGAGCACCTGTCAGACCGTACCAGCGCGAGCGCTTCCTCTCTCTGCGCGCACGAAACCCGGGGGCAGCGAAGACCTTCGCGACGGCATGGGCAGCGGGGTGCGGATCCTACGGCGTACGGCGCAGGGTTCGTCTGGCGCGGCACCTAACCGGCGCGGCAAGCGCCTCTGTGCGCGTGCGGTCGTGCCTCCGCGCCCACGCCGGCCGCGCCTCCGCCCAGTCGCGCTCGTCTTTGGCCCATCGCCTCACCGGCGACCAGCGGCCTCCGCGCCGGTCGTGCGTCCGCGCCCGAGATGGTCGTGGAGGGCCGCCGCGGCCCGCGGCGTGGCCAGCAGGTCGCCGGTACCCCATTGCTATGTAAAAACATATGTTTATAGCATGTGAGTCGATGACGCGTGGGCCCCATAGGTCACTGAGATGGAGGTTGTATGTCAAAACCGCTCAACGTTGGTCAAAACAGCTTTGCTCCCCGTCCAGGTGCTAAAAGTGAACGGTTTTGACATTTCCGGTACCGGTACTATACGGTTTTATAGTTGAGGATTAAAATTAGACCGACACAATAGTTGAGGTGCCAAAAATGGACTTAATCCTATCTAAAAACTAATTAAAAGATCCAGCCACAATAACTGAAAGATGGATGAATATTTTGGGGGGAAATTAGACCTAACCATTTGCATTAGCAAATTTTTGGAATTTTAAAAATGGAGTGAAGATTGAATATAACAAAGCACATTGTACCTAGCTAAGTTCCAGTTCAGTTTCCGTTCAATTTGAGAACTAAAGCACACAATTTGTATCTGGTTGTCTAGATTTTTATATCTCAGAGGATAAGGACTACATTTAGAAAGATAATATGAACAGCATGCTAGTATATGAATCTGCAGGAAGGCAGTGTTGTGAGTACCTTAAAAGCATATCTTAAGAATCTAATTATCAATGAAACCAAAAAAATGCACCGGACACATAAGAGCCGTCAGTTCTTATCTATAAAGAATAAGATGTATGAACTAACAGCAGGGCAGTGCCTCCATCAATCACAATGAACTAAACGAGGATAGAACAGATCTAAAATGTAATCAAAATAACAGCTTCCAGAACCAATAAAAAAATAGGTAATTAAATACAAGATACAGTACGACAAGCAACTCAGATCACACCAGCGAGGCTTCAGTTGCTCCCAGAAACAGAGGAAGGACCAAAAATTGCACGGACTACTTCCTTCCTACGGCTGCAGAGAACTGATTTTTTTTTTGGCAAGAACAATAAAAAACCCACAGAAAAAGAAGACATTCCAAGGTGCCTGAAAAACTGCTAAAACACATGTAGCTGGCACTTGGATGGATCGAACTAAAGTTATGAATAAAAATGAATCGGGGAGTGTTCGGTTGGCATGGATTATTTACTGTTTATGCTGAAAAATACTGTTTATGCTGAAATGTTGTGAGAGAAAAATACTGCTCCGGCTAAAAAAAAAAACCTAAAATATTGTGAAAGAAAAATATTGCTCCGACTACGAAAAAAAAACAGAGCAAACCGGCTGACCAGCCAGCCGAACACTGCCTAAAAGTAGAAGAACTAAACTCAGTACAACTAAAAGCAACAGACCTATGCACCAAAAGTAGCATCCAGATCCAACAAATGCAGCAAATCTAAGTGGGTAGCAGTACAGGTACGTGCTGGAGTGGGTGGCCGGGGCCTGCCGGCTCTGCCCACCGCCGTTGCTCCCGTCGCCCAGCTTGCTGCCCTGCCGGCCACTGCCCGGCTCGCTCTGATCGTCGTCGTAGCTGCCGCCGCCCTGCTGCCCCTGGCTAGGGAGGAGATCGGCCATGTCCGACGCGTGGTTCTTGAAGAACTTCTTCAGCTGCTGCTGTGTCCTAGGGGTAACTGCCATGGCACGAGCGTACATGTTAGCAGCCCACGGCGAGACAAACAGATGGATGTGATAGCTCATCAGGTGGCAGAGAACTGAAGGAGGTCAGGTTATTACTCACCAACGCTTTTGTGCGGTCGCTCAGCAGTGGGATCATCAGCCAGGCGCGTGAGCGCGTGCTCGTGGCCGCCGACGGTCATGGCGGCGGCAAGGAGCAGAACGACGGCGAGCGCGAGGAGCGGCGTCCTGGCGGCGCCCATTGCACGCAAGCTGTGTTGATGGATACGCGCTTGGCAATGTTGCAACCACGTACTCAATGCTTTGTGCGAGACGTACTGGGTGTCTGAGCTTCTGATGATGTGCATCAGTTTATTTGTAGGGCGACGGGTCTGTCTGGCACAGCCTTGGCGAGAAGATTCAGAGGAGGCAGATGAACATGGAGCTAGAGGAGCAACCTTGCGAGAGGAGCACATGGCTAGCCATGAATCTATGTGTGTGTTATCACGAGTCTAGAAGGGATCTGTATATCCCAGCAGAATGGCCAGCCACACAAATGCATATATATGGCCATGTGATATGGACATATGACCCATATGGACACAGCACGTCGTTTGCATTGGCAAACCTAACTTTGTGTGTGTCACCATTTTGTGAAAGTCCAGAGTAATCCCTCTGGACATGGTCACACTATTTGACACGATACACATGTCTTGCTTTTCGAGTTTTAACTTTTATTGTATCACCGTTATAACATCTATAATAAGTCCAGAGTATATGATATTTTTTGTTTCAAAAAAAAGTATGAGATGTTAAAGTTTTGTCATGATAAATATGTATTATTTATGTATGTTCAGACTAAGACTCTCTTTGAAATTAGAGTATTTTTCTCTCCTGCTTTATGTGAAAATGAACTAATTTTTGTAAGACCACTATATGACTCATGTGAAATTCGTTCGTTCTATTGAAGGACTAACTACAAATTTTTAACAATATACTAGTAATGATGGTATTAGGCCTAACTACAAATATTTTAACACTAGCAATGATGGTATATATATATATATATATATATATATATATATATATATATATATATATATATATATATATATATATATATATATATATATATATATATATATATATATATATATATATATATAGAAACCTAAAATGTTATCGGGAACTGCCGAGAGTTTGGTAGAAGTTAGCTCAGATACTTATATCTGAGTTTTCATTTGAGATTTTATTTATATATATGCACACACGCACAATGCTACTATACCAACAAAATAAACATTGAGAATTGATTTGGTTGGGGTGCGCCAAGCCCAAGCTTAATATGATTCCTCCCCCACAAAAAAATAAGTTCAATATATCATTGTGAAGCGGTGCCTCGCAATATCAGATATCAAACTGATAAGAACAAATACTACACTTGATTCTTATAGCCAAAAGACCGAGAAATGTATAAGTTGTGTTGGTTGTCCTCGGGTAGTTTTATTGCTTCCTTTGGTTGCAACTCTTCTCCCGTAGCGGTACTGTACAAAACTAAAACAGGATTAGATTACAAATATCAGTATATATATACTATAATAATAATACTGGTCTTGGAGAAGGACACGCGATATGGCCAAACAGGTGGACTGGGGCGATCGGGATGCAGAGAAACTCATACGGGCTTCATGGCCCATGGACCTAAGGAGAAGAAACGGAGGCGGATGCTGAACAGAGCCCAACTGTCGTTTTCGTGGCACCTTCTTATCCTCGTTGCGAGCGCGATGCTCCGATGGACCAGTTGAGCAGTGAAGCATTGTGCGTGTCCTTTGTTAGCTAATCTACTGTCATCTTGTGTGAACACAACAGAGGAAGGTGACGCCGACTTAGTCGTCTGCTGTGTGTGAACACAAGAGGGAAAACGGCGCCGACTTTACCCCCTCTTTGTGATATATAGTAGGCGCCGCAGTGCGGTATACCGCATGACGCTCACCGCAACATCTGTAGGAACAGCGCAGGCGGCGTAGAGTCAGCCCTGTCATGTTATCTAGTTATTGTGCTAGCATGGACGCTGCACATGGACTAGATAGTTAGAGTTGTATAAATAGACATGTATGGCAACTCAGTAAAGAGAGCTCAGATTTGCCATCACACAGACATGGCCTCGGCCTACGCTGTTGTCTTGTATTGTGCGTGCTTGCTCTGTTCTCCCTTCTTCTTCTAAGCTCGTCCGTAGTGTGTGGGTACGGACAACGCCGGTATGTGGTCTGCACGGCTAGTGGGTGCTCGGCAACACTAGCACGTGCTCAGCGAGACCGTCAAGTGCTCCACTCGCCTGAGCCAGTGCTCGGCAAGATCGGCTGGATTGGTTCACTGTCGTGAGCCGGTGATCCTGTGAGACCAACGGAGTGGTCTGGAGGCCATCTCGGTGGCCGAGAGGCTAACTGTGGGCCAACGAGTGGTATTGGAGCCGTACAAGCGCCGTTGTCATTCTAACCGATGGCGATGACAGGCGGTTCGGAGTTGGGCGACGGCAGTGGCACTGTCGTGGCTGCCCAGCCACTACCAGATGTAGTTGTTCGCACGGTGCGGGAGGTCAGCGGCACCACTTGGCCCACGCTGACTCGCACTAACTATAGAGAGTGGTCGGTGACCATGAAAGTCAAGCTCAGAGCCCGACGGCTCTGGAATGCTGTTGACAAGGGCACCGACGTGGAAGAAGACGACATGTCAGCGTTGGAGGCTATCCTCGCTGCTGTACCGGTGGAATACAGGGAACCATTGGGGACGAAAGGCTCAACTAAGGAGGCGTGGGAGGCCATTGCGGCGATGCGCGTCGGTTCCGACCGCGCAAAAAAGGCGACGACCCAGCTTCTAAAGCAGGAGTATGCAAACCTCAAGTTTAAGGATGGTGAAACAGTGGAGGATTTTTCCCTCCTCCTGCAGACGCTCATCAGCAAGCTGAAGAGCCACGGCGTCACCATCGACGAAGAGGAGGCGGTCTCCAAGTTCCTCCACTCCGTGCCGATAAAGTACATCCAGATCGCTCTCTCCATAGAGACGATGCTGGACTTGTCCACCCTCACCATTGAGGATGTGGCAGGCCGTCTGCGGGCGGTGGACGGCGCTGGGGCAAAGCGACAAAGAACGAAGACAGCGGGAAACTCCTGCTGATGGAAGAGGAGTGGCACTGGTAGAGAACCGAGCTTTACTCTCAATGGGGAACCCCCTCTAGTCCCGGTTCCTCACCCGGGAGCAAGCATCCGGGACTAAAGGGGGTCCTTTAGTCCCGGTCGAGAACCGGACTAAGGAGGACCTTTAGTCCCGGTGGGTAACACCAACCGGACTAAAGGTGCCTCCCCGACATGCCACGATGGCCGGCACCTTTAGTCCCGGTTGGTAATACGAACCGGGACTAAAGGTTTTTTTTCTTTTTTCTTTTCTTTTCATTTTTTTGTTTTCGAAGTCGTATTGTACGCTGCTAATTATACATTTATACACGCGTATAGTATGTTTTGGTTCAAGCACAATGAACGTATTAAATCACACAATTCAAGCATAGAAAAATATATATATATGCATGCATGCATCATATATATATTTACATGCATGCATGCATATGTGTATTTTACATTATATTATTTCATGTGCATATATTACAAAAAGATTGCATTATAGTTGTTGTAATATAACAAGTTTTCTCTCATCCTCTAGCTTGGCTTCCATGGCAGTGTTGGGTCGAAGTAGAACTCGCCCTTGGAATCGATGACCTGCTCATTAAAAAATCCGGCTATAGACTCTTAAATTGCTTTGATTTGGTCTTGCCGTATGACCTTTTCCTCCAACCATCGAGTCTACAGGTTTGAATTAAAGGAAAATAAATTAATATATGTACATATATTTATATAAAGACATAGTAACACAATCAATAATAATAATTAAATGAATATATAGTGTATTTTTAACGTACTTTGAGTCTCTCTGTAGGAGTTTTTTGGGAGATCACCTTGATAAACTTGCAAACATAGTAACCACAGTAGTTGTTTCCCTGTTCCTGCCTCAGACACCACTTTACGAGAAAAAGATTTGTCATCCAATCTGGTGATCCGGTGAAAGCTATATGTTTAATTAATAAAGATGATGCGATTCAGGGGACTTACTTTCAAATTGATTACATTCAGTGGTGCTTTGCATTTTTCCATGTGTTGCTTCTCAGTAAAGGTTTTCCAAACACTGCCCAATAAAAAATTTGCCACGTCATCAGATATAGTTAATCATCATGTTTGTGTGTATATATAGTTGCTAGAGATCCCGAAATTACCTCTGGATAATATGTATCATATCTTGGTAGTCTTGTTGTGGTTTTCTCATCGAGTCATAGATTATCAAGTGACTTTTCACCAGATCGATGTCCATCAATATCCAGTGATTGCTGCATGTGTTTATAGGGTATAACGCATAACACTCATTAATTAACTAGAATCAATATATGAGCCATTAAGGATGATCGATATTATTAACACTCACTTGAAGTTATAGGGAAAGAGTATATCCTTCTTGTGGCGTTGGTTCACTAAGAAGTTCATGAGGTTACTCTCTGACTCAGACTTCCAATTAGTCTTTTGGAGTAATTGGGTCTTTGAATATTATATGGGGATCAACAAAACCAATTTCATTGCAGCCTTCCTTTCTGAGCTCTGTCATTGTAAATCTACATATATATAGGACTTGTTAGGATAATTTATATGCATATACACACATATGATGAGTTTAATAATAGATTGAAAGAATTATTACTTACAGGCAATAGCAGCTAATGATAACTTTGTCCAGAGAGGTCAGGTGGCATAGTTGATGAAATTCTGCAAAGTCAACATACATAACATCATCGCCACGGAACCAATGTTCGTCTCTAATTCGACACCAACGCAGAAGTCTCCACCGGTAGAGCGCTTTGCATGTACCACTGTTTAGCGGTACATTTATGTCCCCAGATTAGATAAGGCTTGACGGTTGTATAGACTCTGGCCTAGTACAAATTTTTTCTTCCAAATATCAACCTCCGCCGCACTCTCAATGTTTCCATCACCAAACATCTGGTAAAGGTCGAGACCAGTCGCATCAATAAATTCACCAAGGTGATCCAAATCGACATCCGGAGGTATGTTTGCTCGATGCATTAATCCTAAATTCGAACCATATTCATTACCAACAACTAGCGGGGGACTGATTGGTGCGCTTGTTGTCCAAGTTGGGCAACTCC